AACGATACCTCGTCTCATCGGCTTCAAAATATTAACACTGATGCAGTTTATAAGAAAGAAGCTAAATTTACTGTTTAAGTGCAAATTTGAAATTTTAATTGAAATTTATAAAAAAAATTGGAATTGATTGATTCGGAATATTACTGAAGAATGCATTTTCTGATAGGCTTCAAACTGTGTTGATGGGCTTTCACCTTCAGATATGTAAATTTTAAATTGCCATTTTTATTAACTAAATTGGTTTCCATATAATTGGAGAATCTTGTGTCGCCTTCACACTTGAGCTCTGGTGTATCGGATTTGGAATTTAATAATGAATTTGAGGATTTTCGCAAAATGGCGCAGCAGGGTAAACGACGGGTAAACACTGTCGGCATTGAAGTAGTACGTGGGGCTGTGTATGCCCATTCAGCTCGGCTTTTACTGCCTACCATCATCAGGGACACATACGGTATAGCAAATGTATAGTGTGGCGTTGAATGGTGCATACCGGATCTTCGTGAAGTTTCGCAACCCTAGTGTATATGAAGACAAGGTCGCCGGATTTCAGGATTTTGTATGCCAGTGAATCCTGCTGTGATGGTGAAGCTCCATGATGTCCCGCTACTACACGTGGGTGAAGATATGGAATGTGCATTTCGAGGCTGATGAGGCGGACCTGCGTGCCGTGTTTGAAAAATATGGGACAGTTCACATGGCGACATTGGGGAAGTGGAAGGAAGAATCATATGCTGGGATGCCTGAGGGAACTTTCTCTTTGAAAATGACATTACGGCATCTCATTCCTTCGTACGTGCAACTTGACGACTTCAGGACACAAGTGATGGTGACCTATGCAGGGCAACGGCATACTTGTCGCTTGTGCGGCGCCTATGACCACGTTGCTGTGCAGTGTGTTCGACGGCGAAGATTCGCAGGAGAATGATATACGTAAGGAGGCACCGGAGGAACAGGAAAAGACGGAGCAGGCAAGACCAGAGAAGCCTACTTTGCGTAAGGCTTGGAGTGTGGAGGTGGACGACACAGAATTAATGGAGGGAGAGTGTGTAACGCTTCCGGGGAAGCCAAGCTCTTCTGGACTGGCACCGCGGAGCGTAGGTGAGGTGCCGCATGGTGAGGATAGGGACGTGGAGGCCACCATCGACAGTGCTCCACAACCTGTTAGGAACCCCAGGTGAGGTCTCCGTTGAGGGGCTTGTGGGTGCCCCGGAGTCTGCTGTGGTTCCGGGAGGCGTGGGGGGGATGTCGGAGGCTCACGTTGATGCTGCTTTGCAGAGCTGTACTGTGCACACGGATGGCTTCTGGGAGGATGATGGGAAGAAGGCTAGAGGGTCACGGAAGAGAGCGGCTGCACTCTCGGATATGGAAGATGTGCTCATCCCGGCACAGCGTTCGGGTAAAAAGGTTTGGGTGAATGTAGAGGAGTGTGGACCTGGAGGATCCAGGGGCAAGGGACCTGTGAAAGGTGGTCCCAGAGGGGCATATGAGGACCAAGGGAGTATTAGGAGGAAGGGAAAAACGGGTGTAGCCGTGCATAAAGGCAAACCACCTCCGACAGCTTCAAGAGTCTCGCTATAAATATTAATGGATTGAAAAACAAAAGGAAGTGTGCATGGTTTCGTGAGTTTATAATTAGGTATGGTGTAGATGTTGTGTTTGTACAGGAGCACAATCACAAGCCGGGTTGTATGTTGGTGATTGATACGGCACACTCGCCGAGATTGAAAGGTGTGGCTATTTTGATGGAGGCTAGCCCGTTTACTGTACATCCCTGTGAGGAGGGGAGGGTTATACAAGTGGATGGGTTTTGGGGGTGGGAGAAGGTCACCTTTGTGTGTTTATGGCCCGGCGGATGGGGACGGTCGGGTTAAGAATGAGTTTGTACGTGATGTGTTGGTATATCACCTGAGGTCGCTTCCAGCAGTAGCTGTGGTGGGAGGGGACTGGAATTGTGTGATCCCTTATAGGGATGTGGAACCTAGGGGGCCTGGATATTCTGGCGTTTTGAGGGAGCTGTTAACTGGGGTGGGGTTGGTGGATGTGGGGGTGGGTGCGGCATGGGAGGTGGAGCACACCTTTGTGAGGCACGGGTATGTGGCAAGGCTGGACAGACTATACATGACGAGAAAGGCAGTGGTACAGAGTAAGTGTCTTGGATGTGGTCTTTTCAGATCACAGAGGTGTTTTGGTGGAATTGGGATGGGAGGGATTGCCGAACAGGTATAAGAGCTATTGGAAATTGAATGTTCGGTTACTTAAAGATGAGGGGAGGGTCTTATTTGCACGTTTGTGGGAAAGGTTGTGGGAAGGGGTGAGCATGGAGGGGGATGTGTTGAGTTGGTGGGATACAACGGCGAAGACGAGGATTCGGGAATTCTATGTACGCCAGGGGAGGCATGAGAACTAGCTGGCTTATGAGCTTATTAGGTATCTTGAGGGGCAGTTAAGGGAGTGTTATGAGAGGGGAGGAGGGGGGAGCCCCAGTGGCAGACAGAGGGATTGAAGGATGGACTCAGAGAATTGCAAAATGAACAGTTCGATACGGTAAGGGTTTTAGGGGGGTTAGAGGAGGTGATATAGGGTGATAGGCCGTCGGCGTGTGTCCTGCGAGGGCAGGCGCATCGCCGCATTGCAACGGAGGGGATGGGGGGTACGTAGATGCTTGGCTTAGTGCGTATATACCTGGAGGTTACCTGGAGGTTATTCCGGGGATCAATGCCCCCGTGGCCCGGTCCATGACCAGGCCTCCCGATGGATCAGGGCCTGATCAACTAACTAGGCTGTTACTGCTGGCCGCACGCAGTCCAACGTACGAGCCACAGCCCAGCTGATCCGGCACTGACTTTAGGTATCTGTCCAGCTCTCTCTTGAAGGCAGCCAGGGGCTTATTGGCAATCCCCCTAATGCTTGATGGGAGGCTGTTGAACAGTTTTGGGCCCCAGACACTTATGGTGTTTTCCCTTAGTGTACCAATGGCGCCCCTACTTTTTATTGAGGGCATTTTGCATCGCCTGCCCAGTCTTTTACTTTCGTAGGGAGTGATTTCTGTGTGCAGATTTGGGACCATTCCTTCCAAGATTTTCCAAGTGTAGATTATGATATATCTCTCCCTCCTGCGTTCCAACGAGTACAAGTCAAGTGCTTCCAAGCATTCCCAGTAGTTAAGGTGCTTGACAGAACTTATACGTGCAGTAAAGGATCTCTGTACACTCTCTAGATCTGCGATTTCACCTGCTTTGAATGGAGATGTTAATGTACAGCAGTATTCCAGCCTAGAGAGAACAAGTGATTTGAAAAGGATCATCATTGGCTTGGCATCTCTCATTTTGAAAGTTCTCATTATCCATCCTATCATTTTCTTTGCACGTGCGGGAGTGAGTGAGGGGGCGTTAAGGGAGACGGGAGATTGGGTGCAGTGTGTGCTTGACAGGGACGACAAGGAAAAGTTACAGGGGAATATGGTAGAGGAGGTGGTGTGGACGGCATTAATGGGCATGAGTCGTGGTAAGGCGTCGGGAATAGATGGGCTGCCTAGCAACTTTTATATACAGCATTGGGGTGTACTGAAGGAATTTTTGGTGAAATTGTTTAATGTAATGAAAGAGAGGAGTGAATTGGGGGAGTTGCAAGCGACGGCGATTGTAGTTTTGGTACCAAAGGGTGATAGGCAGTACACAGTGAGGGATTATCGAATGTGTGCGGACTACAAACTCTTTGCGAAAATATTAGGAAACCGTTTTAAAAGGGTTATTGGTAAGATTATAGTAGGGGACAATGTGGGGTACCGGGGAGGTCAATGTACGAGGGGCATGGGGTCATTAGAAGGTTCATTAAGAGTACGCTTCAAAGTTGATGTTTCTTAGTGGAAGGCTTGGATTAGTTTTGGGATGTGTAGATCCTAATATACCATTTTTATTGAAAACCGTGATTAGTGACCATGTGACATGAGAATACCTCTTCTGTTTCCCTTCAGTTCTTCAACTCTAAACTTCTAATTGTATTTGAAACAGCCGCACTCTGCGCTATTCCTTTTCCGTGCATTGTCACGCAGATGGCTGGGGTTATGAAATACGGGGGATGCCTTTTATCTGATCGCACAGCAGCTGAAATACATCGCTTTAATGTAATCCTCTCATCTCCCACTCCCAACCATCATGGGTACCTCGTAGTTCAGTGGTAACACCATCAGTTCAGTTCACAAGACTCAGCTTTAATCCTGAGTGAGGCAGGATGCATAGACCTGCTGGTCTTTCATCTGTAAATACATACCTGGGTGTTAGTAGACTTGTAGTTTGTGGGTCGCATCCTGGGAAAAGAACCAAAGAACCCCAATGGAAATCAGTTACACTGCTTAGTTTCTTGGGCTATCCCGGGTTATTAGCTAGCTATAAATTAAAAAAAAAATGGCTCCCGGAAGATTATAGGTTGTGAAAGTTTAATTCAACATACGAAAGATTTGGGTTGACTAAAAAAAAAATTCTCGCTAGAAAAACTTAGAATACAATGTAAAACCTCGCTAAAGCGGCAAGTTTCTCAACTAGTCTATCGGACCAAAATCTTCCTTTGGCTTACTAATTCATTCTCAGGATGTGTTATCCAACAAGTGCCGCTGTTTTTTTTTTTTTTTTAGCATTGTTCTTAATTTTTCCCCTTGTTCAGTAAACTGTCATGGAATTTCGTTAACAGATAATTTGTCCTAAAGAAGAAGTAACAAGGCACAATACAGTGGCCAGAAAGTCACGATTTACAAATTTGAAACAAGTCCTGGACTTAATCTTTGTTCGTCTTTATTCTAAATTATGATCATGAGGGTAGCTTTAATTCCTTGGATCATGAGGCCTTCAGTATCAACAGACTTTTGAAGGTCGTTAACGTTGTACAGCACTAAATGTCAGAACGATGCTAATGGTAGGGAAAGTATAAACTCATGTGTTAAGCACTTAATTATCAATTTGTGGGTTAGTGTGATTTCGCTCTTCTCAATTTTGTCTTCTCTGCAGGTGGGACAATTTGAAGGAGAGATAAGTGCATCTCCCCTGGTGGTAATGGACGGTAACCTGCCTCAACCTACCATTAACTACGTACTCGACCTCTGTGCCTCGTGTCGTGTCCCAGGTCTGTGCCTATAAATTTTTGTGTGTTTGTAATATATATATATATATATATGGAGGGGTTTTGGGGGTCAGCGGCCCCGATCCGTGACCAGGCCTCGCGGCGGATCAAGGCCTGATCAACCAGGCTGTTACTGCTAGCTGCACGTAAACCGATTTGCGAACCACAGCCAGGCTGGAAAAGTACTAGCTTTAGATGCCTGTCCAGTGCCTTGAAGATAGCCGGGGGTCTATTAGTAATCTCCGTTAGGTATGCTGGGAGGCAGTTGAACAGTCTTGGGCCCCTGACACTTACTATGTTGTCTCTTAGCGTACTCGTGGCACCCGCTGCTTTTCATGGAGGGGGGGAATGTTGCATCTCTTACCGAGTCTTTTGCTTTTGTAGGGAATGATTTTCGTGTGCAGCCGATTTGGGCCTAGTCCCTCTATTATTTTCTAAGTGTATATTATGTATTCTTTCTCGTCTGCATTCCAGGGAGTACAAGCAAGAGACATAATTGTTCCCAATAATTTAGGTGCTTTATCGTACTTACACATGCCGTGAAAGTTCTCTGTATATTCTCAAGGTCTGCAATTTCGCCTGCCTTGAAAGGGGCCGTTAGTGTACAGCAATATTCCGGTCTAGAGAGAACAAGCGACTTGAAATCATCATTGGCTGAGGCATCTCTAGTTTTGAAGGTTCTCACTATCCATCACATTTTCCTAGCTGATGTGATAGATACATTGTTGTGATCTCTGAAAGTGAGATTCTGACATCACTCCAGGTCCTTTACATTAGTTTTTCGCTTTGTGATTGTTATTTCTTATATTCTGATACAAATTTTATTACCTCGAGTTATCAATAGCGTAGTAATTGAAATTTGTCTTCATTGAACTTCATATTTTCTGCGGCTCACTTAAAGATTTGGTTGATGTCCGCTTGGAGACATTGCAAGTCTTTAATGGATGATACTGTCATGCAAATTCAGGTATCAGGAAAGGAGGACACGGTTCTATGGCTTACATCTGTTTGTCAGATACGAGGATGAACAGGATGGGAGAGAGTACTGTACCTCGTGGAAAGAGCTTTTATTGTAGCCGCCTCTGACTTGTTTACTATTATTCTTTGTTCTATTTGTTAGGGAGTTAGATCCATTTACCCACGTGTCCTGTTATTTCTTTATCGTGCATTTCGTGCTATTTCACCATGATCGCACTTGTCGAAGGCTTTCGTAAAGTCTGTGTATACTACATTTTGTTTGTCCTCTAGAGCATCCAAGACCCTGTCATAGTGGTCTAGTAGTTGTGAGAGGCAGGAGCAATCTGCTCTGAACTCGTATTGCCCTGGGTTGTGTAGCGATTTTTGTGGGAGATTAGAGCTGTCGGTCTGTAATTCTTTGCAATGGCTTTACTGCCACCTTTTTGGAATGTGGCTATCTCTGTTGTATTTAGTGACTGTGGGATGACCCGTGTCTATGCTCCCTCTCCATAGAATATCTAAGGCACGTGAAAGAGGTTTCTTGCAGTTCTTGATGAACACGGAGTTCCACGAATCTGGGCCTGGGGCAGAGTGCATGGGCATCAGGGCATGTCATTTATTGCTGTTTTGAAGTCCTGTGGTGTTAGGATAATATCAGAAATTCTTGAATTAACCAGATTTTGAATCTCGGTCATAAATCATTTAGGTTGCCGAGCCTGAGTGATTAACGGCTCATTAAACACTGAGTCATATTGGGATTTGGCATTAGAAAAGCAGTATTTTTTTTCAATTTCATTTATGACTTTTAAGTTCATTCTGTTTCTTGTCTCCAGTATGGTTCCTTAAGCTTAAGTTCGATATTTGCTATTCCTCTGACCATTGCCTCCCTTCGTGTTTCAGATATATCAGAGCCCTTTCAGCAGCTCTGTAATTTTGTCTATAGAGGCAGCGTCTCTATCTGCATCTTCTCTTCCTTTTTTCTTAAGGAACGTGCTTTGAGCATACCTCAAGTGCCACAGTTAATTTTTCTAGGCAAAGGTTCCAATCCATGTTCTTTGGGATATCTTTCCAGCTTGTTCATTTAGGACATGATTACTTTGATCCCCTTGTATGTTTTTGTTATTGAAGTAAAATTTGGTGAAGGCACCCTCAAAACTGATTGCCTTATGCTGGTCAGGAGACCTGCACATACATGTCTGTACTTATCTTATGTTGTGATCTGAGTGTATTTGATACTATTATATTTCGTACCAGTTCATCATTATTAATGAAGATGGTCAGATGTATTTTCTAGTCTTGTTGGCTTCACTATTCACTGGCTTAGGTGAATTTGTTGCAGATTTAATAGCTCATATGTGTAAATTTTCATCTGAGTTGCCCCCTAGGGGTTATCTCTTCTAAAGCATAATTTCCTACATTCATCTATTATAGGTGTCTTAGTTAAAACCTCCCAGCAGCAAGATGGTTTGGGGCAGGAGTCTGGAGATTTTCCAGTGGTCAGTTTTCAAAAGCTGTCTTGAATTGTTGGGAAGCTGCATCAGGTTTGTATATAACCACAATGACAAGGTTTTTGTTTATCAGTCTTTATTGCCAAAACTTCACCTGCATCATTTGTGGTGTTTAGTAATTCTGAGCAAATGAGCGATTCTATATACATGCCAACCTTCCCCCCCCCCCGAGCTGATCAGTCCCTCCGTTTTGATAGGTGGTCATTACTATGGCAAATGACGTGGTATCTATTTGGTTGATCACTTCCTATTTTGGAAATTGTTTTTATATGAAGTTTTCCTCGAGGTTTTAGTTAGATTAGGTCATTTACTTCTCAAAACCCAATAAAACTCCTGTATTTATATATAGCTTTCACTATGAGAGCTTTGATTACAACTGTGGCCTGAAATGATACATTTCTAGGTTTTCTCGGTGCATGATAAGGGGGATAAGTCCACTCCTTCAAATTACCGTCCAATAAGCCTGACATCTATTAGAATCAATTAGCTGACATTATCAGAAGTCACCTTGAAGAGCATAACTTGATAAATGAATCTCAGCATGGATTCACGAGAGGTCGTTCCTGCCTGACAAACTTACTGATATTCTTCAATAGAACATTTGAGGCAGTTGACAGTGATAAGGAATGATATTGTTTATTTGGATTTTAGTAAAGCCTTCGATAGAGTACCTCACAAGAGACTCTTAAGAAAAGTGGCAGCTCATGGTTTTTATTATTATTATCACACTGGCTGATTCCCACCAAGGCAGGGTGGCCCGAAAAAGAAAAACTTTCACTATCATTCACTCCATCACTGTCTTGCCAGAAGGGTGCTATACACTCAGTTTTTAAACTGCAACATTAACACCCCTCCTTCAGAGTGCAGGCACTGTACTTCCCATCTCCAGGACTCAAGTCCGGCCTGCCGGTTTCCCTGAATCCCTTCATAAATGTTACTTTGCTCACACTCCAACAGCACGTCAAGTATTAAAAACCATTTGTCTCCATTCACTCCTATCAAACACGCTCACGCATGCCTGCTGGAAGTCCAAACCCCTCGCACACAAAACCTCCTTTACCCCCCTCCCTCCAACCTTTCCTAGGCCGACCCCTACCCCGCCTTCCTTCCACTACAGACTGATACACTCTTGAAGTCATTCTGTATTGCTCCATTCTCTCTACATGTCCGAACCACCTCAACAACCCTTCCTCAGCCCTCTGGACAACAGTTTTGGCAATCCCGCACCTCCTAACTTCCAAACTACAAATTCTCTGCATTATATTCACACCACACATTGCCCTCAAACATGACATCTCCACTGCCTCCAGCCTTCTCCTCGCTGCAACATTCATCACCCATGCTTCACACCCATATAAGAGCGTTGGCAAAACTATACTCTCATACATTCCCCTCTTTGCCTCCAAGGACAAAGTTCTTTGTCTCCACAGACTCCTAAGTGCACCACTTACCCTTTTCCCCTCATCAATTCTATGATTCACCTCATCTTTCATAGACCCATCCGCTGACATGTCCACTCCCAAATATCTGAATAGATTCACCTCCTCCATACTCTCCCTCCAATTTGATATCCAATCTTTCATCACCTAATCTTTTTGTTATCCTCATAACCTTACTCTTTCCTGTATTCACTTTTAATTTTCTTCTTTTGCATACCCTACCAAATTCATCCACCAATCTCTGCAACTTCTCTTCAGAATCTCCCAAGAGCACAGTGTCATCAGCAAAGAGCAACTGTGACAACTCCCACTTTGTGTGATTCTTCATCTTTTAACTCCACGCCTCTTGCCAAGACCCTCGCATTTACTTCTCTTACAACCCCATCTATAAATATATTAAACAACCACGGTGACATCACACATCCTTGTCTAAGGCCTACTTTACTGGGAAATAATTTCCCTCTTTCCTACATACTCTAACTTGAGCCTCACTATCCTCGTAAAAACTCTTCACTGCTTTCAGTAACCTACCTCCTACACCATACACCTGCAACATCTGCCACATTGCCCCCCTGTCCACCCTGTCATACGCCTTTTCCAAATCCATAAATGCCACAAAGACCTCTTTAGCCTTATCTAAATACTGTTCACTTATATGTTTCACTGTAAACACCTGGTCCACACACCCCCTACCTTTCCTAAAGCCTCCGTGTTCATCTGCTATCCTATTTTCCGTCTTACTCTTAATTCTTTCAATAATAACTCTACCATACACTTTACCAGGTATACTCAACAGACTTATCCTCCTATAATTTTTGCACTCTCTTTTGTCCCCTTTGCCTTTATACAAAGGAACTATGCATGCTCTCTCCCAATCCCTAGGTACCTTACCCTCTTCCATACATTTATTAAATAATTGCACCAACCACTCCAAAACTGTATCCCCACCTGCTTTTAACATTTCTATCTTTATCCCATCAATCCCAGCTGCCTTACCCCCTTTCATTTTACCTACTGCCTCACGAACTTCCCCCACACTCACAACTGGCTCTTCCTCACTCCTACAAGATGTTATTCCTCCTTGCCCTATACACGAAATCACAGCTTCCCTAACTTCATCAACATTTAACAATTCCTCAAAATATTAACTCCATCTTCCCAATACCTCTAACTCTCCATTTAATAACTCTCCTCTCCTATTTTTAACTGACAAATCCATTTGTTTTCTAGGCTTCCTCAACTTGTTAATCTCACTCCAAAACTTTTTCTTATTTTCAACAAAATATAGTATAGGAGGTAAAGTTCTAGCATGGATAGAGGCATGGCTTACCAATAGAAAGCAGAGTTGCCATTAATGGAGTGAAATCTGAATAGGGATTAGTCACTAGCGGCGTTCCACAAGGATCAGTTTTAGGCCCTCTCTTGTTCATAATTTACATTAATGACCTTGATGAAGGGATTACGAGTGACATTAGTAAGTTTGCTGATGATACAAAGATAGGCCGCATAATTCACTCTGAGGAGGGTATCAATTAACTCCAGGATGATTTGGACAAATTAATGTCTTGGTCTGAAAAATGGCAGATGAAGTTGAATGTGGATAAGTGTAAGGTACTTGCCCTTGGTAATGAAAACAACCCTCGAAGCTATAATCTAGGTGAAGTAGAGCTTGATCATACAGAATGTGAAAAAGACTTGGGAGTCATGGTAAGCAGAAATCTAAAGCCAAGACAGCAGTGCCTTAGTGTGCACAGCAAGGCCAACAGATTACTTGGATTTATCTCAAGAAGTATAAGTAACAGAAGTCCAAAAGTTATTTTACAGCTCTATACATCACTAGTGAGGCCTCATTTAGATTATGCTGCTCAGTTTTGGTCCCCTTACTACAGGATGGATATAGACTCATTAGAGAACATACAGAGAATGACTAAAACGATTTACTGTGTAAGGAACCTCCCGTATGAAGATAGACTTAAAGCCTTAACCCTTAAATGGTCCAAACGTATATATACATTTTTCAACATCTGAAAGTATGTAAAAAATGTAATCTTTTTTGTTTTAAATTTGAAAACATGTAAAAAAACTTTTATCTACATTTTTTTTTTTTTGTTATATTTGAAAATATGTAAAAAAAAAGTAATTACTTTTGTAGCAATACGAATTTGATTATTATTATTATTATAATCAAAAAGAAGCGCTAAGCCACAAGGACTATACAGCGCTGCAATATGAATTTGAACATCGATCTGTTTGGACCATTTAAGGGTTAAATCTCTACTCTCTGGAGAGGCGTAGGATGAGGGGAGATATCATTGAAGTGTATAAGTGGATGACGGGCATAAACAAGGGAGGTATTAATAAAGTACTGAGGGTGTCGAATCAGGTAAGAACCAGAAATAATGGAGTTAAGTTGGATAAATTTAGATTTAGAAAGGACATAGGTAAGTACTGGTTTTCTAACAGAGTTGTTGATATGTGGAACAGTCTTCCCAGTGGGGTGGTAGAGGCTAGGACCTTGGGTAGCTTTAAGAAGAGACTTGATAAATATATGAGTGGGAGGGGCTGGGTTTGATTGGTGTCATTGGGTACAGGAGTTATTTCTTGGGTAGCTTTGGGTAGAGGTCGTTTTGATAAGGACCTGCCTCGCATGGGCCAGTAGGCCTTCTGCAGTGTTCCTCCATTCTTATGAAACTTCCTATGGAGAGCTCAGAGCAATATCGCAAGCCCACCTGACATTTGCGGAAAAACTTCTTGCAAACCTCGAAAATTTCCTGCATGTGTGTATACCCCTGAACACAATAGCTGTCCCTGAAGAATAAAAGTTTTGATGTGAAACCAGGACTGAAATTATCCATTTTCAGGGTTTCCCATGCCTTTTCTTAACCAGCATGAAACATTCCCTATGGAGGGGATTCTGAGCATGAAGCCCACACATTGGGTGCAGAGAATACTTCCTGAAAATGGAAAACTGACATGATCAGTTTCTTCTAACAAATCTGGAAAACTGTTTAGCTGTCCCTGAAAGCTATAAGCTTTGAGGACCCTAGCCCAATATGATCCATTTCCAGGTTTCCTAGTACATTTTCTACACCAGCATGAAAGTCCCTGAGGAGGATTGTCAGGCCACTTATTTGTCATATCTTGGAGTTATTGGGGAGAACACCTCTGAAAAATTGGCATATTATAATCAAGGGGGAAGTGCTAAACCCATAGGGTTATACAGAAAAATTAGATTATGAAATTCCACATTGATCATTTACTTCCACAGACCTAGAAAATGCTTGGATTAAGGGGCTTCTTTACTGGCATCATGGCACTTCCCCTTAAGGGTATTGATGGCTGGCTTAAGTCTATAACAAGATTAACTGCACCTTCAATTAGCTGCTTAGGACCATCAAATGTCAGTTTCAGGTATTTTTCTCCATATAACCAAGGCAACCTCTGGCAATATTTCAGATGCCCTGCCAGATGACTGCTCAGTCTTGCTGGAGGGTCATCTTGCATGTAATGACCACTGCAACACTAGGAGTTAGGTTAAAAAAAAAAAAAGGGGAAATTTTCTTGCAGGCAAATGAAGAGATGGAAGTATTTAGATTCAGTCCGAGGAAAAGGTTCAGTTCCTCGGATCAAAGCCACTTTCTCACAACATCCTATATAGTGTATACTTTGACAGTATGGAATCTACTACTGCCTATGAAAAGAGCAGCTTGTATGAATTTTAATTTGAAAAACGTGTGCTGTTGGTTATGCAATTAAGAAAACCAGGTCGTTAGCATTTTTATTACAAAAAATACAAGTTTTGAATTTAGTTTGAGAGATTCTGGACGGAATAAGACAGTGCTGCTAAACAACTGCAATAGTATAAAACCTTAACAAATATTCATAAGACTAATATTATTATATAAACCTTAAGCCTGATGTATTTTTTTAAAAGTAAAATACTGTATTAAGATTTACATTTTTCATTATGAATGTTTCTTGAATTTCCAAAACTAATGGAAATTTGTAGTGGTAGAGGAAGGGTGGCACTAGTAATATTTTAATTATTTAACAGTACTATAATTGTATACAAGAAATGCTTTACATCACACACAATAAAATTTACTAAGACTTGTGCTTTGACAAAGGCAAAGCTCTGTCCTAAGCAGAACAGCTCAGTAAAAGTTAGTCTTTTATGTTGCCCTCACAGCTATATCTATCAGCATCAAGTCTGTATAATAAAATTGGGGGAGCTGTTATCTTCCTCTCCCCTAATCATGGACATCAGATTTATTCCACTAAATTTTCCTTCTCTATAATGTGCATGGTACTATAAAAACAGTTCATTAAATGGGTGCATGAAAAATTAGACTAGTATTACACCTATAGGTGTTTAGCACTTGGTAATTTTTTTTTTTTTTGTTACACACTTTGATGCAAGGAATTGGACTTGTCCTTCCCTTCCTTGGATCAAAGCTAGTTGCCTCCCATGCCCATATGGATTTTTTTTTTTTTCCTAAATGAAATGATGCTCAAATGTATTAATGTAGGGGTGGAATGTGAAGTCTGCTCATATAGGATTATGGTAGATGGAAAAAAATCTTTACTGTAGACATTTTGCTCTTAGTAAAGCTTAATACACAACAAAATATCTAGTAGTGCAGAGCAAAACTATCTTACCATAATTGTTGGCAATACCTGCCATCCATGTAGGATGAATTGTGCAAAAGTTTGGTGCTGACAGCACTTTGCTTCTGTTCTACAGTAAGCAAATAACTGATGCTCCCAAGCACCTTGGAGTGACTCTAGATAAGGGTACCTTCACCATTACTAAACACCTTGTAGCAGCACTATTGTACAGGCCTTGTGGCTTAGTGCTTCTTTTTGATTATAATAATAAACACCTTGTATAACTTATCCTTCATGAGCAGATGCCTACACGACCTAATCCCCCACCACTATACCTCAGTTAAAGTGCATATGGAGACCCTGGTTAAAACTAGTTATGTTGTCTCTGTATTACTATACCCATATTTGGCAACATGGCCCGCTAACCACACCCTAGTCTGAAATCACATGTCAAGGCTGCGTTCATTTTGTAAGTGAAGCAATTATAAGCAATGATTATATAGTTAAGGGAAATCTTCCTATGTCTGTACACAAGGAATATCTGTTAAGCAACCTTTAAGAGTTCCTTGATGCTAGTGAGGGGCTCATGATCTAAGGAATTGGACTTTTGCTTTGATTCTGTAAATAGTCTGAATGCCTTAAAATCTCCCAGCTGCTGTATGATCCCTATAGGATTACACCCTCCCCCCCTTATGAAATTTAATGTGAAGTAAATTTTTATAATAAAAAAAAAAAAAAAAGTGCTAATCCTACAAGGGTCATAAATGATTGCTGAAAATGCACAATTAAAATTTGAGGGGAAATGCTAAGTCTGAATATTAACTAAAATTCATCCAAGGACTAATATTTAAATTATGAAATGTGAATTACTTACAATGTGTAATAATAATAATAGTAGGCTTCTACTTGTACATGACCTTTACATAACAGGATATGCAGTTTAGTTGAATGATTTCTTCCAATGATTACAAGGGCTGGAAGTAAATGGTGTAGTGATACTGACAAGATGTGGCTTCAGTCCTGAAGGTACTCATGGCAAAATGTTTCCTGTCCTGTACTGTACGTAAGTGTGTCCTTCCCCACAAGTGGCATTACGTTTATTGGTCATGTGTGCCCTTTAAATTAGTTGGATCATAAACGTTAATTGCACACAATTTACTACTAGCATGTCAAAATTTCTTTGGATAAAAATACAGTATTAGGCAGTATCAAGTAAATACTCTTCAGTGTGCATTATCAGTATAGGTATACACTTTTTAGTGTTAAAATTAAAGTATAACTTCCAACAGGGATTCAGCACAAATTGAACTTTACATACCAATATGTGAAAACTTGCATTCACAACCAATTTAAATGTAAATACAGATCATTGTTGAATTTGTTTGATTTTGAGAATTGGCTCATTGAAAGCTACTTTAAAGGCATCGTCATAGTAAATACCATTTTGAGAAGATACTGTTCAATACTTTTAATGGATAAATTTATATTTGTTAAAAAAAAAACTTATAGGTGCATTCCATACATGTTTGGGAACATACATGGCTGTCAAAATAAAAAATTCTTAAAATTTACTTACAATAACTAGTGTTTGTGATTACATGTCAAGGTTAGCTGGTAATACAACTTGTACAAAATTCAGTGGCTTATTTTTGTACATTCAAATATATCCATGGCTAGTCATACCCATGCCCATTCCCATATGTCCTTGTGGATCCATGTGAAGGAGGTTACTAGCCTGGCGTTTGCGCTCCCTGGCTTCGAAGGTTTCCTAGAATGTCAAACTAGAACTATATAATTTCTGCCAAGGTTGGAAAAGGATATTTTTAATTTTCAACATCTCTAATTATATCTTTGTTTAATTATGAAATTTTATTGGACATCTGTCAGCACATTAAATTCCATTATATGCATTAAAAAAATTAAGGAGGTTCTTACATGAAGTAAAGTAAATCCAGCAAAAGCATGAATGCCCCCTGCAATAACAGCAAAGGCATATGACCAGGACAGGTAGTTAAAGTTGGGGTTTAGCAACCAGTCACGGGACCAACACATGACTCCGAAGACCAGCACAGCAAAGAAGATGCCAATGACTGTAAAGAATCCATTTAGTAGCATTAAAAAAAAAAAAAAAAAAAAAAAACTTACATAACTTTATTAGCCTATAAATCTGGTATAATTTTAACACCAAAATACACTTCAGCCCATGCAATACTCTACTATTTTCTCCTTACATCATGGAAAAACCTAATTCAGCAATAACCAGTCTCATCATTGTATTTAAAAAAGAATAAGCACTAAACCTGGGGGGAAATTGGAAGGCTCCAACTTCCTTTGTCAAGAGTCCTTCACTAGCAATTAGGCACCTCCCTTGAAGAATGTCAAAGTTACTAAACTGGAAATGTTGTACAGGACCGCCATCGCAAATCTGGCAATCAGACATTCGGTTCCATCAGTTATTCGGCACTAACTTCGGCTAGCATAATTTCAAATTTCCAGGGTCACCACACCAACCTGCTGGTACTGTTCGGCGGCACTACTTTCTGCATAAATCATTCCAATTTCTTTTTCTCCATTTATTGCCCTAGCAATGGTTCCAACAAATAAAAGAAATGCTTCTTGTTGTGTAAAGCACCTACACAGTACATTGTCCATTCAAGATAAGGTGGCTATGAAGCCACTGTTGCCATGAGCTCAGTCTCGTGATGCAGGGGAATATGCTTCATTATTACACTAATATCAACACTACGGCTTATTTGCCTATCACAATTGATCTAGGTAGTAGGTTGGTAGATAGCAACCGCCCAGGGAGGTACTACCGTCCTGCCAAGTAAGTGTAAGCCTGTAATTGTTTTACACAATGGTAGGATTGCTGGTGTCTTTTTTTCTGTCTCACACACATGCAAGATTTCAGGTACATCTTGCTACTTCTACTTACACTTAGGTCACACTACACATACATGTACAAGCGTATATATACACACCCCTCTGGGTTTTCTTCTATTTTCTTTCTAGTTCTTGTTTATTTCCTCTTACCTCCATGGGGAAGTGGAACAGAATTCTTCCTCCGTAAGCCATGCATGTTGTAAGAGGCCGGGAGCAAGGGGCTAGTAACCCCTTCTCCTGTATATATTACTAAATGTAAAAGGAGAAACTTTCATTTTTCCTTTTGAGCCAACCCACCTCGGTGGGATATGGCCGGTGTGTTGAAAGAAAGAAAGAATTGATCTGACATATTAAACAATATAAATAACATAAAACCACGTTAAATACTCCAGAATGAATAATATTTGGCATAATACCGAGCAGTTCGACAGAGGTATGAAGAGGATATGGGATACAAGTGCCATTCTCCTATCTCTGTCTTGGGGGCTTATATTAGAGAAAACGGAATATAGCACAGGGCTAACTGTGATATACACTCATACTGCACCACAAACTGAAATGAAAAAGCTATTTTCTCTACATAATTATCACATAGCAGCATATGTGTAGAGAACCTAGGATAACCCAAAAAAGTCAGTAGCTTATTTCTAATATCTGGCTTAGGCTAGCCATTTATAATTTTTGGTAAATATTTGATTCCCAGCCAGGGTAGAAACATTGGGCATGTTTCTTTGCACCTGTTGTCTATGTTCACTCATCAGTAAATGGGTACCTGGGTGTTAGTGGACTTGTGTGGGTCTTATCCTGGGACAATGACCTAATTTGCCTGAAATGCTTAGCATAACAAAGGGCTTTCTATATATGTAGTAGTATGTCACTGACGTCAGCTAGGTCTGTATGCCATGTACATGTAGTAAATAAAGATATTATAATTTTTTTTTTTTCCTAGGTAGTAGGTTGGTAGACAGCAACCGCCCAGGGAGGTACTACCGTCCTGCCAAGCGAGCGTAAAACGGAAACCTGTAATTGTTTTACATGATGGTAGGATTGCTGGTGTCTTTTTTTTTTCTCATAAACATGCAAGATTTCAGGTACATCTTGCTACTACTTCTTACACTTAGGTCACACTACACATACATGTACAAGCATGCATATATAATTATATATATATACACACACACACACCCCTCTGGGTTTTCTTCTATTTTCTTACTAGTTCTTGTTCTTGTTTATTTCCTGTTATCTCCATGGGGAAGTGGAACAGAATTCTTCCTCCGTAAGGCATGCATGTCATAAGAGGCGGCTAAAATGCCGGGAGCAAAGGGCTAGTAACCCTTTCTCCTGTATATGTTACTATATGTATATTTAAAAGGAGAAACTTTAGTTTTATCTTTTGGGCCACCCCACCTCAGTGGGATATGGCCGGTACGTTGAAAGAAGAAATATTTTTTTCTCTGTTGTTTAAGGGGCTATCTTACTGAAACTCAGGCAATATACGATGGAAAGATGCTTCTTAATGTACACCAAAAATGAAAGAAATCGGACAATAAATAATGGAGTTCACTTCTCGGCCATTAGCGGCCCCATAGCAGTACATTTTTGTATGGTTGTATTCTCGTTTTTTTTTTTTTTTGGTCTCAGCTGATAGAATGTATGATATATTACAGAAATAGACATGATTTTCATTACTTTCACAACAAAAAGTATCTTGAAATTGTGCTCAAAGTAGCAGAAATGTATTTCTTTAACGATGTTCAAGAGTAAACAAATGACGTCACTGTCTAATATGTGTGCACCTGCCAGTCCAAATTCCAATATGCAGTCAAGAATGGGTTGACATTATTTATACAATTATTACAATAATACAGTAGTCTGCATAACAGTAAATCTATTTGTGTGAATAAAAATTCCAAATGGTAAGCAAGAGTAATATAAGAGGGGCCTGGAGCCATGACTAATAAACAGAGAAAATGTTATTTTATTGCCAGGAATGTCTGCATTATTCTGGACCCTATTTTGAAATTGGCATCTGTTGAAATTTGTGTGAAATTGGCCAAATTGCCAATTTCTGACCACTTTATTGGGTAGTTGAAATAGGTGAATGGGCAGTTTCTTGTACTCGGTTGACAGAATAGAAGAAAGTAAATAAGTACATTTATTCAGGTATAAACAAATACAGTTACATAGATTATCATACATAGCAGCGTATGTATAGGGAACCTAGGATAACCCAAAAAAGTCTGACAAAATGACTTATTTCCAGTACCTGGCTTGGGCTTGCCATATATAATTTTTGGTAACTATTCTTTTTCTCAGTTGTTTGTTGGGCTATCTTATTGAAACTTGGGCAATGTATGATGGAAAGATGCTTCTTAACATCCACCAAAAACGAAAAAAAAAAAGACGATAAATAATGCGGTATATTTTCGTATGTTTTTTTATGGTTGTATTCTCGTTTTTTTGGTCTCACATGATAGAACAGAAGATATATAACAGAAATAGATATGATTTTGATTGGTTTCATGACAAAAAGTACCTTGAAGCTGAGCTCAAAAGTAGCAGAAATGTTTGATTTTTACCGATGTTTCAATTAACTTTCTTGTGTAAGTTGGTTAATTTTATTAAGCGTATTCTAACCTAACCACTCTGTAATCTGGCACACTACAAGTCCCAATGATGCCGGATTTATGATGGCGAACCTGTATAAACTAAACATGATACAAGCACAAAGCAATGGACCAGTTGGAATACCTTTAGAACTGTGGAACCAGACGTTAGCACTATTAGATTGCCGTCAGTATGTGAAAGGTAATTGTTTTTATATCTTCCCTCTCCCCCTTTTTTTGATGCATGCAAAATGAAAAATTCTGGGTATTACTTTCAAGGGAAAGTGCTAAACCAGTAGAAGTCAACAGTACCTTGATTATGGGAGATAATCAGGTTTGATGGAAAAGGAGGGTAGCTCCAATTCCATGGATCAAGACTCCAAGGAATTGGATTCTTGTGTCCATGTATTGTTTGTAACGGCTTGATAAACCTCCTGTAGAGTGAAACGTTGCCACAATAAAATGTCATATTAGTTGCATTTGTGGCCTCTTACCCCTCATGGAAGGTTCCTTGATGTTGGTGAGGGGCTCTTGATTTAGGGAATTGAATCTGTGCTCCAGTTCCCCGAATTAAGCCTGAGTGCTGTATAGTCCTTGTGGCTTAGCGCTTCTTTTTGATTATAATAATAATTAAGCCTGAATGCCTTCCACATCCCCCCCTGGGCGCTGTATAATCCTACGGGTTTAGCGCTTCCCCCTTGATTATAATAATAATAATGTGGCCTTTTACCTAACATATTGTCAGTAATTCTACCAACATTAATACGATTCTTTAGTTAATGTAGAAAAGAGCAAATTGTTGAGTGTAACAAAAAAAAAGTCTAGGTAATAACGGACTGAATGTCAGATTGAGGGAGTATGGACATGTCACCAGATAGGTCAGAGACACAATAAAAAAAAGACAGGGAAGGGAAAAAGGGGGTGGTGTAGTGATGTCGAAAAAAAGTTTATCGATGGAGGAAAATAAAAGGAGGGGGGGAATGTAACAGAGTACAGTGGTACCAATACTTATGTGGGTGAAAGGCATGAGATGGCTGTTAAAAAGATTATATATACATGCATATATTTAAGACAGATCAATTAACATACCAGTAATAGCTTGACAGCAAAAACAAAAGCCTGTGAGGTGCCACTCATATCGCATAATTATCTGCATGGGCCACCTTACAAGCACCAAACTTATTGTCACTAGCGTCGTCAAGCTAGCAAGCAGGGCTATGGTCATGAATGTCTGCACTGCCATAAACCATGCTGAAATAAAAGAACTCAACTAAGCTGCTAGTATAAAATAAATCCATCAATACAAAAACTTTTAAAACAGTACATATATAATCAAATAATATCCAATATAAAATGTAGGTTTCAATATAGTAAGTGTTATTCCTCATGAATTAATTTCATTATAGATTTAAAAAATGCTGATCAAGACTAATTATTAGGTGCACAGCATAAGAATTTACTGCTCATTAACCTTCAAACTGTCCAAACGTAGATCTACGTTCGCTCGCGTAGCACTCTGAACGTAGATCTATGTTTTGTTTGACATTCTCTCTTATGGAGAAAATCAAGGTCGGAGCACTATGTGCAAAGCAAACATAGGTCTACGTTTGGACAGTTTAAGGGTTAAAACAAGTATTTTATACTAAGAACATAAGAATGGAGGAACACTGCAGAAGGCCTACTGGCCCATGCGAGGCAGGTCCTTATCAAAACAACTACTACCTAAAGCTTCCCTAGAAATAACTCCCGTACCAAATGACACCAATCAAACCCAGCCCCTCCCACTCATATATTTGTCCAGTCTCTTCTTAAAGCTACCCAAGGTCCTAGCCTCTATCACCCCACTGGGAAGACTGTTCCATGCATCTACAACTCTGTTAGAAAACCAGTACTTACCTATGTCCTTTCTAAATCTAAATTTATCCAACTTAAATCCATTATTCCTGGTTCTTACCTGGTTCGACACCCTCAGTACTTTATTAATACCTCCCTTGTTTATGCCAGTCATCCACTTATACACTTCAATGATATCTCCCCTCATTCTGTGCCTCTCCAGAGAGTGGAGATTTAAGGCTTTGAGTCTATCTTCATACGGGAGGTTCCTTACAGAGTAAATCATTTTAGTCATTCTTCTCTGTATGTTCTCTAATGAGTCTATGTCCATCCTGTAGTAAGGGGACCAAAACTGAGCAGCATAATCTAAATGAGGCCTCACTAGTGATGTATAGAGCTGTAAAATAACTTTTGGACTTCTGTTACTTATACTTCTTGAGATAAATCCAAGTAATCTGTTGGCCTTGTTGCGCACACTAAGGCACTGCTGTCTTGGCTTTAGATTTCTGCTTACCATGACTCCCAAGTCTTTTTTCACATTCTGTATGATCAAGCTCTACTTCACCTAGATTATAGCTTCGAGGGTTATTTTCATTACCAAGAGCAAGTACCTTACACTTATCCACATTGAACTTCATCTGCCATTTTTCAGACCAAGACATTAATTTGTCCAAATCGTCCTGGAGTTCATTGATATCTTTCTCAGAGTGAATTATACGGCCTATCTTTGTATCTATGTTGCACTTTAGATAGAGCCTTTAATACACAGTAGCATTTGTTGGACTAATACTAATGATATTCAAAATTAATTTTTAATTTAAAGCTCTGAAAATTACATATTTAAAAGTCACTAGATAATAAATTTTGAACCTCAAAATATTCTCATATAAGAGTAATGCATCAAAATGTCAACTCAAAGGAGAAATTAATATGCATTTATGCATAACACTGATCCTGAAGTGAACTTTATATTAATGAACTCCTAGAACCTACTACAAAACTAATAAATAGCAAACTTGCTAAGATTATCCTTTGTGAAAACGAGTATAAATATTCAATCTATAAGTAAACATATTATCCCAGTCATTAAATAACTTTCAATAATGTGAGTAGAATTACTGACAATATGTAAGGTAAAAAGGACACGTGCAACATTTTATTGTGGCAATGTTTCACCCTGGAGAGCGAAATGTTACAATAAAATGTTGCATCAGTTGCACACGTGTCCTTTTGCCAAACATTCATATTAACAGACTTGACTAAAGCCTAATACAATAAACATATTTATCATGCCTGAATACACAGTTATGTATACACAATTGTAGCCTTAATAAGAAAAATTTATTACAATCTGCTACACAAATGAGATGCAGTATAAAGAATATCAAACATAAGAGGAACCAATGGAGAATACTATTTGCAATTTAATTTAGACACAAATCACACTGGAGCTGTATACAGAATGCCAAAAATAACAGCAAAATTTAACAACAGACTTACTAACCTTATCATAGGCAGCTGGTGACTAATATTATCTTACTCAACCCAAAAGTATCCAGTTTAGCAGCTTTTAAACAATATGTACTCCTGCTTGTTTTAATATAATTAATAACTAAATCTACAAGATCAATGATACATCTGCTTCTACACTTGATCAAATTTGGACAAATAAACTTAATATAATTGCTCTACTACAATTCCAAATACATAAATTAAAGGTAGGACAACTTACCACTCCTAAACTTTCCTTATAACTATAGCACCAAAGCAACAACAAAATAAAATTCTGGCTACATAATGATGTTTCGATAAGCAAAGTCAACCTCTCAACTAATGCCTTCTGCATTTATGTTCATTTCTTCCTGCTGAGATAGCCCATAAAACACCCAAATTTAAGGGTATGACACTGGTTCCCATTTTTTTTTTTTTTTTTTAACATCTACCGTTTCCCGCCAAGGTAGGGTGGCCTGAAAAAGAAAAACTTTCACCATCATTCACTCCATAACTGTCTTGCCAGAGGCATGCTTACACTACAGTCATAGTGGTGGTGAAGGTGGCAGCAGAGGTGGTGGTGTTTGTCAGTAGTCCTATATATGTACCTCCTACAACAATGGAGGAGTCAGTTTTGTACTGTCCTTTTTCTAATGATTAATCGCTTAACTTACTTGCTACAGTTAATGCTACACTTTATCGCTGGCTGCCGCTATAGCCTTTATAGACTCCTGCTTCTTTAGTATCATACATATTGCAGAATCACTTAAAAAGCCACATTCTCCCCTCTCTCAGCCCTTTGCCAAAAGGCTGGCTGGCATTAGAAGATTTCTTTGGGCCTATGGTGGCTTATTTAGCAGTTACAAGCATTAAAAAGAATGGAATAATACAAAATGTATCATATGAACACATGGGATTGTCCTCACTGGCTGGTAAACAATGGCACACTGGGCCGCTCAGGCCCCGACACAAATGACTTGTACCAAGTTCAGTGACGTTCACCGAGCCAACATTCTGACGCAAAAACGTTACTTATTCCAATGACGTCTTAATCCAGGGGTCCACTGTATATATATATATACAGTGGACCCCCAGTTAACGACATTAATCCATTCCAGAGAGCTCATCTTTAATCGATTTTTTCATTGTCCGAATTAATTTTCCCCATAAGAAATAATGGAAATCCAATTAATTCGTTCCAGACACCCAAAAGTATTAAACAAAATAATTTTTTTTACATGAAATATACATTTCCCTACACAGAAAACAATGAGAAATGCAGAATAAACAATACTGAAATGACACTTACCTTTATTGAAGATGTATTGATGAGTGATGAGATGGGAGGAGGGCAGAGGATGGAGGAGTTTACAATTATTTGGAAGGGGAGTCCCCTTCCATAAAGACTTCAGGTAACAAGTCCTTTTCTGGGGTTACCTCCCTTCTTTGTTTTTTAATGCACTAAGACCAGCTTGAGTCACTGAACCCATGTTGCACCAAAAATCTGTCCAGAGCGCTCCGTTTCTGGTGTCTCTAAGATTTTCGTAAACATGACTTAAGAAATCGTAATGACACGATTGCAAATAAACCATACCCCCGGCCGGGATTGAACCCGCGGTCATAGAGTCTCAAAACTCCAGCCCGTCGCGTTAGCCACTAGACCAGCTAGCCACAATAAGATTCATCCAACTAGGTATATTTCTACACCATAGGAAAGTTAGCACAGGCACCTCTGTGACCACAAATGCAAGTTTTTACAGACGAATCTCCAGCTAGCGTGGCCGTGACGAACTCTAGCTCAAGTCCCTTCACTGCCGTCAACATGACTTAAGAAATCGTAATGACACGATTGCAAATAAACCATACCCCCGGCCGGGATTGAACCCGCGGTCATAGAGTCTCAAAACTCCAGCCCGTCGCGTTAGCCACTAGACCAGCTAGCCACAATAAGATTCATCCAACTAGGTATATTTCTACACAGGCTGGAGTTTTGAGACTCTATGACCGCGGGTTCAATCCCGGCAGGGGGTATGGTTTATTTGCAATCGTGTCATTACGATTTCTTAAGTCATGTTGACGGCAGTGAAGGGACTTGAGCTAGAGTTCGTCACGGCCACGCTAGCTGGAGATTCGTCTGTAAAAACTTGCATTTGTGGTCACAGAGGTGCCTGTGCTAACTTTCCTATGGTGTAGAAATATACCTAGTTGGATGAATCTTATTGTGGCTAGCTGGTCTAGTGGCTAACGCGACGGGCTGGAGTTTTGAGACTCTATGACCGCGGGTTCAATCCCGGCCGGGGGTATGGTTTATTTTCGTAAAATGAGAGAGAACATTGTCATTGTAGATGTTGCCAGCGCAGTCTGCAACAGCTGTGTCAGGGTGATGTTCATCCATAAATGTTTGCACATAAGAAAGCAGGAACACTGCTGCAGGCCTGTTGGCCCATACTAAGCAGGTCCTTCACAAAACATCCCACTAACAGAATCATATTTGCCAAACCCAATTTTCAATTCTTCCCAAGTAATAAGCTTTGATAATTCTGTTCACTCATGCACAAGTCCCAATCAAATTAAATTGTGTGTGTGGGGAAGTAGCCTGTCTGGTATGTGGGGCAGCACCCTGGTTGGTATGTGGGGGAAGTTCCCTGGCAGGTGTGTGAGAAGTACCCTGGCTGGTGTGTGAGAAGTACCCTGGCTGATATGTGGGGGAAATACCCTGGCTGGTGTGTGAGGAGTACCCTGGTTGGTATGTGGGGAAGTTCCCTGGCTGGTGTGTGGGAAGTACCCTGGCTGGTATGTGGGGAAGTTCCCTGGCTGGTGTAGGAAGTACCCTTGCTGGTGTACATAAGAAAGCAGGAACAATGCAGAAGACCTGTTGGCCCACACTCAACCCTCTACCACCATCCTCTACCACTACCACTTTTGTATCTTTCTACAAAATTTTTTCTTGAATTCTACAGTGTTTCTCACCCTCTGTACCACAGGGCTGGCACCAGAAGCTTTCTTTGGGCCCATGGTGGTTTATTTAGCAGTTACAAGCACTAAAAACAATGGAATACAAAATATATCGCATGTACACGTGGAATCGTCCTCCCTGGCTTGTAAACAATGGCACACTGGCTGTACATGGAGTGTCTGGACCACTCACACCACGCTGACACCTTTGGGACAAATGTTCTTACCCGAGTTCTTTTTCGGTAACCGAGCCAATATTTTGATGCAATCCAATTTTTTCATTATCCAATGAAGTTGTTACCCAAGGGTCCACTGTATATAAACCCAAGCTTCACACCCATATAAGAGTGTTGGTACCACTACACTTTCATACATTCCCTTCTTTGCCTCCATAGATAACATTTTTTTTGTCTCCACATATACCTCAATGCACTACTCACCTTTTTTCCTTCATCAATTCTATGATTAACCTCATCCTTCATAAACCCATCCAATGACACGTCAGCTCTCAAACAGTATCTGAAACCATTCACTTCTTCCATTCTCCCTCTCTCCCTTGTGATATCCAATTTTTCTTTATCTAAATCATTTGATACCCTCATCACCTTACTCATATTTATATTCACTTTCAACTCTGTACCTTTACACATCCTCCCAAACTCGTCCACTAATTGTGTCAACTCCCATTTTGTCTTTGATTCCCCATAATTTAATCCCACCTCTCTCCCCACCACCTTAGCATTTACTTCTTTTACAACCCCATCTATAAATAATTGAACAACCATGGTGACATTACACATCCCTGTCTAAAACCTACTTTTACCAGGAAGTAATCTCCCTCTCTTCTACACACCCTAACCTGAACCTCACTATCCTCATAAAAACTCTTTACAGCATTTAGTAACTTACTACCTATTTCATACCCTTACAACATCTGCCACATTCCTCCCCTATCCACTCTATCATAGGCCTTTTTCTAAATTACTTTTTATGGATTTAGAAAAGCATATATGTATGTATGTACGTACACACACACACACACACAACATGATGGAAAGAATAGACTCCGAAGTGCCCCTGTTTGCAGATGACGTGAAATTGATGAGAAGAATTCAATCAGACGAGGACCAGGAAGAACTACAAAGGGATCTGGACAGGCTGCAGGCCTGGTCCAGCAATTGGCTCCTGGAGTTCAACCCCACCAAGTGCAAAGTCACGAAGATTGGGGAAGGGCAAAAAAGACCGCAGACGGAGTACAGTCTAGGAGGCCCGAGACTATAAACCTCACTCAAGGAAAAAGATCCTGGGGCGGGTATAACACCAGGCACATCTCCTGAGGCGCACATCAACCAAATAACTGCTGCAGCGTATGGGCGCCTAGCAAACCTAAGAACAGCATTCCGTCATCTGGGTTTTCTTTTTTCTTACTAGTTCTTGTTCTTGTTTATTTCTTATCTCCATGGGGAAGAGGAGAATTCTTCCTCTGTAAGCCATGCGTGTCGTAAGAGGCGACTAAAATGCCAGGAGCAAGGGGCTAGTAACCCCTTCTCCAGTATATATTACCCAAGTTAAAGAGAAACGTTTGTTTTTCTTTTTGGGCCAGCCTGCCTCAGTGGGATACGGCCAGTTTGTTGAAAGAAGATAGATATATGTAAGGAAAAAAAAAAAAGCAAAGGTCGAGATTCATTCCTAGAGACAATATACATATTGCAACATTCATTAATCTAAATAGAAAATTTGATTACATACTATAACAACAAATTAAACAAAGCAATAGGTTCCCTAAAAAGTACAGTAATATACTGAAATTTTTTTTCTCAAATTCCGGGAAAAAATACCAAAACCTTTATGTTTGTAACTCTCTTCAAAGATAAGACAGAGACCTTCTTGGCCACTGAAACTGCAAATTAATTCAACAGTTTCTCTTCAACTAAAATAAGCTAGTGACACCACTAAGCCAATATAAAAAACTATATTTCTGGCAACCATCCTAATTATGTCTATCACCAAACACTGCCTCAGAAGTAAATTACATAAAGTCACTCAAAAATACAGGAAGCAAATAAGCTGAAATACAAACATAAAAAGCCATCACAAGTATTATCACCAGTCACTGCAATACTTGCCAATATATCACTTAAATCAGAAATTTTATTCTTTTTATATGAAGTGCTAAACCAATAGGGATCACACATTACCTGGGGAATGGGAAGAAATAAAGAGATCCAAGAAAAATGGCAGCTCCAATTCCTTGGATCAAGAGCCTGCATCAAGGGGAGGGAAACTTTCCCAGACATCCTTAAAATGGCTAGAGTGGTCCCTATTTACAAAAATGGGTATCCATCTAAAATAGCAATAGGCTTTTTCAAACCTACCAATTCTGTTTAAAGTAACTAAATTTATATTTATATTATATCAGCTGTCTTCCACAAATGTAGGGTGACAAAGAAAAGGCATTCACCATTATTCATTCAACAGCTGTCTTGCTATAAGCACATCACAGTTTAAAGGCCACCTGAACTGTGACATCCCCATTTTTTTCAGAGTGCAGGCACACTACTTCCTACCTACAGGACTCGAGTCAAGTGGTTTTCTGGAATCCCTTCATGTTACCTTGTCCACACTCCAAGCACAAGTCAAATACCAAAAACCCATTTTCTCCATTCCACATGATCTAACATGTTCATACATGTCTTCTGGATGCTCAAGTTCCTATTACTCTAAACCTCCTTCACCCCTTTCCTCCAACCCTTCCTGGGATGACCCCTAACCTCTCCTTCCACCCACCCTTACACCCTGGAGAATAAAAAATGCACAATACCATGAGTGGAATAATACTCAAATAACTTGCACATAGGAAACTGAAACTTATGATGTTTTGGTCCAAATTGGACCATTAACTAGTCACAGAGATGAGCTTCTCAGTGTGACTAGATGATGGTCCAAGTCAGACTGAAATGTCATCATGAGTCTCGGTCTCCTATGTGCGGGTTGTTTGTGTACTTAAAACACCCTGTTGGTCACCCTATTCTGCTCCATGCTTTCTGAATGACTAAACCATCTCAACCTCTTAGTAGTTCACAAACTTCATGCAAAAGGAGTAAGTGGAAAAGTGGGCAGATGTATATTTAATTTTCTAACAAATAGAACCCAAGGTGTAAAAGTGAACAGAGTGAAATCGGAGGCTGCCATAGTGAAAACGTCAGTTCACCAAGGCACAGTACTGGCTCCTGCTCTCTCTCTCATATCTGACACAGTCATAATCATAGCACCATATCCATTAAGGACATGGCAAACATCCAAGCTGATATAAACAGTGTTCCAGTGGGCCACTGGCAACAGTTTAATGTCAAATGAGGGAAATTTCAGTTCTCTGTTATGGTAAGATTGAAGAAATAAAGACAGGAACAGAGTATAAAGCTTGAATCGCTAAACAGAGCATGAAACCAATGAGAGAGACTTAAGGGTGACCATGTCAGATCTCACCTTCAAAGATCACTGTCACTATTGCAACTGCAAGAAAAATGATAGACTGAATAACTAGAACCTTCAAAACAAGGGATGCCAAGCCAATGATGCTCATTTTTTTTTTAAGTCCCTTCTTCTCTCTAGACTGGAGTACTGCTGTACTCTAAACAGCCCCATTCAAGGCCAGCAAAACTGCAGACCTGAAGATGGTGCAGAGAACCTTCCACTGTCCACTTAGTCAGTTAAGCACCTAAATTACCAGGATCACATGAAGCCCCTTATAGAAAGATTGGACTACCAACAGAACCCTGGACAAGCTTCTGAAGTTGGCCAGCTAGGATGTAGTGCTTATGTTTGGCTTGGTTCATGCAACTAGCACCAACAGCCTGGTTGATCAGACCATTCATTGGGAGGCTTGATCTGGGACAGGGCCACAAGGGTGTTGACCCTCGGAATATACTCTGGGTAGACTCCAGGTAAAAACAATCTTTAAATTCAGGATGCATCGAAGAAGGGGTGAAAAATCATTCCAGGAAAGTTTGGATGGAAGGGGACCTGCACTTTGAAGGATGGGTGGGAATGTTGCTGTTTAGAGAATCATTTGATCTGTGATGTCCTCTTATTTCTGGCATCAGAACTTTTGAATGAATGATAGTGAAATTGTTTCCTTCCTTGAGTAACTGCCTTAATGGAAAATAACCAATGCTTAAAAAAAAAAATTTCAATCTTGATCGCAATATGAAATTCTTTCATTGACCTTAGTTTTGTACTATCAAAATACAGTACCCTATCTATGTAAAACAAATTACTACTGTACCTGGTAACATCCAGGACCATATTATTCTGTATTCTTCTGAGAAGATGTAGTTGCAACCTGTAAACTTGTAGTCATACTGGAATTTTGGATAACGGAAGCCATTAAAGCAGAACTCCCACAGTCCCATGTTGTTGAAGGAACTGTATGTGTAGGAATACGACTGCAGCCAGTATGGACTGAAAGTAAAAGTTTCATTAGTCCATTAAAAATATGTAATGTTATATTACAAAATAGCAAATCAAAGCTTTTGTTCCATCAAAATAAATTATGTATGAATAAAATTTTTACTTTGTTTTGAACTTTAGTGTCTTGATTTTCTATGGGATTTTATGTTCTCCATTGTTATTTATAATCAACTTGAATGTTCTGGCTCAACTGAGCTATATTATGTCCATTTTTATTACTGTAGTACACTGTACTTATAGCATAATTCTAAGCAAATATTTAACACTTAAAACTGACAAGAGCTAGATGGATCATTAGTTGCAATTTGTGTGTGCTAATAAAGAATGCTAATACAATTAGGAATTGTCCAAGTGGCATTATAATGCTTCTTTAAATTACTGAGAAATGTGTCTCCATCTTATTTGGAACAAGTTTACCATGTTAGACAACAATAAATATAGTACAGGGAGCCCTCGATTTACCTAATAGGGAAAGGGGGGTTTTCTGTCAAAGTTGATCGCCTGTTACATCCACATAAGAGATTATTCCATGGTCAAAGTAACAGATAATTTTTGGATTTAATGGAATAGGTCCGTTAAATCTAAAAATAAATTTATCCAATGGACTGCAGCAATACCAGATAATTCTGGATTTAAAAGACTTCATCCGTTATATCCAGAATTGTTCGTAACAATATCCGACAAGTCTGATTTAATGAAAAGAGCCTGTTAATTGCAAAATAAATTTACCCAATGGACTGCAAGAATAACTAACAATTCTGGATTAAACAAATTTTGTTCGTTGCTTTCAAATGTTGTCCGACCACAGATTTTGTCTGTTAAATAAGAAATTTGTTAAATCAGGACCTGTCGAATCAAGATTTTACTGAATTTTTCTTTAAGAGCAGAACTTGCCAAGCAATATACTAAGTCATTACTGCCATTTGAAGATGTATAATGGTTGGATGTTTAGAACTTAAAAAGCTGATGGATTATTATATGTTAATGTTAAAACTGCAAATAATAACAATAATGACTGATGGAAAGTAAAACAATGTAAATATCTAGAGTAAATTTCATATATCATTTTGAGAGAATTCCTACAATCCTAATTTCCAACAGAGGAAATATACTGCATAGATCCATAGATAAGATACCAGTATGTACTATGTACAATGAAATAAAATTCTGGTTAGCAAATTAAAATAAATGTACTTTCATGACTTGTTTCATTATTGCTGTCGTTTCCCTTGTACCTGAGATAAAGACTCAAGTTTAACCCCTTTGCCATTCGTGCCATAATTTTATGGGTTTGAAGTCTCTGTCCGTGCCATAGAATGTGATAAGCTCAGCTCACTCAGCTTAGCAATGAGCAGTAAGTTTGGGCCTAGATACGAGGGAATGGGTCACTGCAATAAATGTGCATCATATAAAAAAAATTCATATGCCATGCAGTGCATAACAGGAAAAACTGTGACTATGTTTAAAATAGTGACTTTGCAGTATTTTTGGATGATTTTTATGGTTGCATTCTTGTTCTCTTTGTATCATTAGATAAAATGGAAGATATATTACAGAAATAGAGATGATTTTGATTGATTTCTAGACTGGAAGTAGATTGAAACTGAGCTCAAATTAGTGGAAATATACGATTTTTGCTAATATTCTAGAGTAAATAAATCACATCACTCTTCCAATATGCATCGAACTGGTCAGCTAATGTGAGTTTACAAATGCACTGACAATACAGGAAGGCCCCGCTTTACGGCGTTCCGCTAATACGGACATTTCAAATTATGACCAAAACTCACTATACGGCTCCCCCCACCTGACTTTCTAATACGGTCACCGTGCCCCACCCTGTTTGTTTACATTCTCCATGAGCTCAGTAAGCACTAAGTCTCTCCATTTTGTCTGGAAACTCCAAAATTTCAAATGTTTTTAAAAGTTATTTCATATTTTATATATACTCTGATAATTATACTTATGTATACCTGTACCTAAATAAACTTACATACATCAAGTCATTTAAATGTCGTATATTACGTTAATATACACATTTTCATTAATCCATCCATGATATTTTTTTCAAAATTATATAATAAACACGATACATAACATAAAAAGATGATAAATACACCCCACAATAGAATAAATAAACATAAATATAAGATGTGGGAGCCTGGTTTGTTTACTCTGTGCCTGGCCTGTTACCTCTCATGTACTCATTCTTTCTCTCTCTCATTTATTCGTTTTATCTCATTTACTTACTCCTGACCCTACATTAAGACTACAAATATTTTAAGGTAAGTAATGAGTGAACTGTATATACATTTTATCGCTCTGGGATGCTTAAATATCATAGAATAGTATGTGTGGGTGGGGTGGCCTGGTGAGGCAGCCTGGCTATTACAATACATACCACACTTGATTTCTTACAATAAATACTACTTGTCTCACCCTAGATTAAGACTATAAATATTTTAAGGTAAGTAATGAGTGCACTATGTGTGTATTGTACCTTTTTATTGTTTTTTGATGCCTGGTTCTATTGCTAACTTAATATATGTTAGTGTAAACTTGTTATCTAGTGTTTGTATGCATTTATAAGTGGAAAAAAAGGGTGTTCCACTTTACGGCGGTTTCCGCTTTACGGCGGTAGCCTGGAACCTAACCCGCCGTATAAGTGGGGCCTTCCTGTATTTATACAATTATTACAACAATGCATAAGAGTAAATCTAGTTTTTTGTGTGAATAAAAATTCAAAATGGAATTCATGTGTGAAGCCTGGAACATAACTAAAGAACAGAGGAAATGTTATTTTAGTGACAGGAATGCCTGAATTGTTTATTCTGGACCTTATTTAGATATTGGCATATTTTGAAATTTGTGTAAAACTTGCCAAATTACCAATTTCTGATCACTTTACTGGGTAGTTTAAATAGTTGTTTGGGTAGTTTCTTGTGGTCAATTGATAAAATGGAAGCCATTTTAGTGAAATAGCTAAGAACTTGGTCGAATGGAACACTGTAATTTCCCTAAAAGTGGGCAAAATCAATGATGCACAAATATCGCTGACACAGCAAACTTTGCAAAAGCGTAATCTCATGTTTCCCATCAAATTTTGTACTTTTGGACCACTCTCTCCCGTCTTCGCATTGGCCACACTCGTCTTACTCACGGGTATCTCATGGAGAGGCACCCTGTACCTCTCTGTGAGCAGTGTCAAGTTCCAGTATCGATTAGCCACATTCTGTTAGACTGCCCTCTCTATCAACGAGCACGCAGAATTTACCTCCAACGCCGTCTTCGTTCTACTACTCTCTCTTTACCTTCCCTTCTTGCTGATGGACCCTCCTTTAATCCTGACTCTCTCATTGACTTCTTGACAACGACTGATTTACTCCACAAACTCTGATGATGATACCTTACGCACTCCCCTCAGCCCTTTCTAGCTCAGTCTCTTGCTGCCCTTTACCCTTTCACCATCCACTGCTCCGCTGTTATCCGTAACCTATTACTCATCCACCTCCCTTTTGCCACCTGATGCCCTCACTTCCTTCCTGCCCTGCAGCGCTGTATAGCCCTTGTGGCTTAGCGCTTCTTTTTGATTATAATAATAATAATAATTTGTACTTTTGGTTTTATTACCTTCAGAAAAAATTCTGAAGGTAATAATTTTTATTATATAAAAATTTGAGGGGAAAATTCTTGGACACTGTGGACACTTTTCAGATTGGGCATCTGGACAATTAAAGAGTTAAATAACAAGGGTTATTGGCATGTTGCAGCGAAATCAGTGGCTCTTGCTACTGTGACACTGCTGTGGTTGCAGTGACCAGTCTTTCAATACTCATGCATGACATTACAACAATGAATATAGCAACAACTACATATATTTATATCTATTTGTTCTGCGTACATTTTAAGGATGAATTAATTAGGGTAATGTTTTCAAGGTCAAATGCACTAAGCCATGGTGATATACTGTAGTTATGTTAGGTAACATTTTTTTGTAAAGCCTCTCCTCACTTAGCGACGTACTTGTTTACCAACAACTTGGACTTACAATGGGCTCTTTGACCAGTATTCATACCTAAATAATGTATGTTAGAGCTGATTTCCTCTATTCTGTTTATTAGAATATACAGTACACTACTGTGTAAACATTTAAAAATATACCAGAAATGCTATAAATGGTGCAAAGGTGATATTAAAATAATATCAAAGATGGATGACACAAACCCACTACTATTATAGTCTGCTCATCACTTACCGACGAATTCGTTTACCGACAAGGTCTTAGGAGAGGCTGTATTTACTCACAATAGTGAGTCACATATGGCATGATTTTAATATACTGTCTACTATCATTATCTGTAAATAATGCACAATACATACAAAGTGGTAAACATGAATGCTAAATATTGAAGACAAAAATAGGACACACACACACATATATACATTTTTAATAGAAACAGTTTATATTAACCCTTTCACTGTCTTTGTATGTATATATATGCTGTATATGTTTTTGAGGCCAGTGGTGCCCTCAAATAGGCTGCGAGTGGTAAATTTTGGCCTAGACATGAGAAAAATGGGTCTGTGCTGTAGGTGGACACAGTAGAAAAAAAAAAAATCCTGCCCCAAACAGTGCCTTGAATTTGGGTTAAAATAGCAACTGAGGCATTTTCTAGGGTGGTTTTTTACATGGTTTTACTGGCTGTTTCTTGGTGACAATTGATATACTAGTGAAATGGAGAATATTTTGGCTAGTTTCAGACTGTAATAAGTGTTCTGAAATATGCCAGAAACATTCGATTTTTGGAGATATTCCTGAGGGAGAGAATGGTCCCATCCTCAGTCTATTTTTTGGGATATGAGTAGTGAACAGAGAAAAGGGTGCTTTAGTGGCTGGTATGTCTAGCATTTATTTTGAACACTGTATAAATTGGCTAAATTTCCAAAACTGGGCATTTTACAGGGTAGTTTCTCACTCTCAATTCATAGAATGGACAGCATTCTAGCAAGTCAGGAATTGAGTTGGTTTGAGGCATTCAAACCTAAAATAGATCTCAAAGTGGGCAAAACTGCAGTTCAGTAAAGTAGTACTCCCGACCTACAAATTAACGTCTACCATAATTGCACAAGTTTTACATCAAATTTTGTCAAAACCTTAGAAAAAGATACTTTACCATTTTATATACTTGTATATTTTTTTTAAATTGTGATGCTGAAAGGACTTAATTTTGGGTGGTCACAACGGTGAAAGGGTTAAATAACAAAATCACTAAGATACTAAGGTTCTCAACACCAAATTATAGAAGTTTAGTCTGAATTGTGATAAAATAATTTGTCTACACTGATAATACTGACCTAGTGAATGAGATGACAAAAAACACAGTTGCAACAAATGCAATTATTCCAGCATTAACCATCGCAGCTGAAAAAAATAAAAAAATAGAAATAAAGTTATATATATATATATATATATATATATATATATATATATATATATGCGCGTGTGTGTGCGCGCGCGCGCGCATGCATGCATGCGAGCACGTGTGTGTGTGTGTGTGTGTGTGTGTGTGTGTGTGTGTGTGTGTGTGTGTGTTGTGTGTGTGTGCGTGCGTGCGTGCGTGCGTGCGTGCATGTGTGTACTCACCTAATTGTGGTTGCAGGGGTCGAGACTCAGCTCCTGGCCCCGCCTCTTCACTGATCGCTACTAGGTCCTCTCCCCCTCTGCATCCTGAGCTTTGTCATACCTCTTCTTAAAACTATGTATGGTTCCTGCCTCCACTACTTCACTTACTAGGCTATTCCACTTCCTGACGACTCTATGACTGAAGTAATACTTCCTAATGGTTTTTCAAACCGTTCCTCACACACACACTTCCTAACGTCCCTGTGACTCGTCTGAGTCTTCAGCTTCCAGTTGTGACCCCTTGTCCCTGTGTCCCCTCTCTGGAACATCCTATCTCTGTCCACCTTGTCTATTCCCCGCAGTATCTTGTATGTCGTTATCATGTCTCCCCTGACCCTTCTGTCCTCCAGTGTCGTCAGTCCGATTTCCCTTAACCTTTCCTCGTACGACATTCCCTTGAGCTCTGGGACTAGCCTTGTTGCAAACCTTTGTACTTTCTCTAACTTCTTGACGTGCTTGACCAGGTGTGGGTTCCAGACTGGTGCTGCATACTCCAGTATGGGCCTAACATACACAGTGTACAGTGTCTTGAACGATTCCTTATTAAGGTATCGGAACGCTATTCTCAGGTTTGCCAGGCGCCCGTATGCTGCAGCGGTTATTTGGTTGATGTGTGCCTCCGGTGATGTGCTCGGTGTTATGGTCACCCCAAGGTCTTTCTCCCTGAGTGAGGTCTGTAGTCTTTGTCCACCTAGCCTATACTCTGTCTGCGGTCTTCTTTGCCCCTCCCCAATCTTCATGACTTTGCATTTGGCTGGATTGAATTCGAGAAGCCAGTTACTGGACCACATGTCCAGCCTCTCCAGGTCTCTTTGCAGTCCTGCCTCATCCTCGTCCGATTTAATTCTTCTCATCAACTTCACGTCATCTGCGAACAGGGACACTTCAGAGTCTATTCCTTCCATCATGTCGTTCACATATATCAAAAATAGCACTGGTCCTAGAACTGACCCCTGTGGGACCCCGCTCGTAACAGGCGCCCACTGTGATACCTCTTCACGCACCATGACTCGTTGCTGCCTCCCTGTCAGGTATTCCCTTATCCATTGCAGTGCCCTTCCTTTTACGTGTGCCTGATCCTCCAGCTTCTGCACTAATCTCTTGTGTGTGTGCATGTGTGTGTGCATGTGTGTGCATGTGTGTGTGTGCATGTGTGTGTGTGCATGTGTGTGTGTGCATGTGTGTGTGTGCATGTGTGTGCATGTGTGTGTGCATGTGTGTGTGCGTGTGTGTGTGTGCATGTGTGTGTGCATGTGTGTGTGCATGTGTGTGTGTGCATGTGTGCATGTGTGTGTGTGCATGTGTGTGTGTGCATGTGTGTGTGTGCATGTGTACTCACCTAGTTGTACTCACCTAGTTGAGGTTGCAGGGGTCGAGTCCAAGCTCCTGGCCCCGCCTCTTCACTGGTGGCTACTAGGTCACTCTCCCTGAACCATGAGCTTTATCGTACCTCTGCTTAATAAAGCTATGTATGGATCCTGCCTCCACTACATCGCTTCCCAAACTATTCCACTTCCTGACTACTCTGTGGCTGAAGAAATACTTCCTAACATCTCTTTGATTCATCTGTGTCTTCAGCTTCCAACTGTGTCCCCGTGTTGCTGTGTCCAGTTTCTGGAACATCCTGTCTTTGTCCACCTTGTCAATTCCTCTCAGTATTTTGTAAGTCGTTATCATGTCCCCCCTCTCTCTCCTGTCCTCCAGTGTCGTCAGGTTGATTTCCCTTAACCTCTCCTCATAGGACATACCTCTTAACTCTGGGATTAGTCTTGTTGCAAACCTTTGCACTTTCTCTAGTTTCTTTACATGCTTGGCTAAGTGTGGGTTCCAAACTGATGCCACATACTCCAATATGGGCCTAACGTACACGGTGTACAGGGTCCTGAACGATTCCTTATTAAGATGTCGGAATGCTGTTCTGAGGTTTGCCAGGCGCCCATATGCTGCAGCAGTTATTTGGTTGATGTGCGCTTCAGGAGATGTGCCTGGTGTTATACTCACCCCAAGATCTTTTTCCTTGAGTGATGTTTGTAGTCTCTGGCCCCCTAGACTGTACTCCGTCTGCAGTCTTCTTTGCCCTTCCCCAATCCTCATGATTTTGCACTTGGTGGGATTGAACTCCAGGAGCCAGTTGCTGGACCAGGTCTGCAGCCTGTCCAGATCCCTTTGTATTTCTGCCTGGTCTTCGATCGAATGAACTCTTCTCATCAACTTCACGTCATCTGCAAACAGGGACACCTCGGAGTTTATTCCTTCCGTCATGTCGTTCACAAATACCAGAAACAGCACTGGTCCTAGGACTGACCCCTGTGGGACCCCGCTGGTCACAGGTGCCCACTCTGACACCTCGCCACGTACCATTACTCGCTGCTGTCTTCCTGACAAGTATTCCCTGATCCATTGCAGTGCCTTCCCTGTTATCCCTGCTTGGTCCTCCAGTTTTTGCACTAATCTCTTGTGTGGTACTGTGTCAAATGCCTTCTTGCAGTCCAAGAAAATGCAATCCACCCACCCCTCTCTCTC